CGCCCGAGGAGAAATTTACCCCAACGCAATCAATAAGAACCAAACCTTGTCTGTCTGAAGTGAAGAGTCACGATCCCCTAAAAACGGGAAAGACTCTGAAACTCGATACCTGTCCACATGCAGAGAAACACTAGACTCGCCGATCACAAGAGATGAGTTGAGGTGATTATTTAACTTGTGCTTTTTGGGTCATATATTCACTCATCTGTCCTGAGTTTAGCGGTTTACTCTGGAAGAAGAAATTACTAACATGGTCATTAAATATGGAGATGGTATGAAATTGGTAGGAGCTGCGAAGAAAGAAAACATTCAAAGGGACCTGCAGCAGTTAGACATACCAGGCAAAATGGTACCTGCCTATGTGGAGCCATTCGTACAGATCAAGATTTTTAAGGTTAAACCTGGAGAAATCAAGTGCTTGCTGTACAAAAATAACGTGAACGGTTGTACTGCATAGTTCTGATTGATTGCCATTGAACTAGCTTGAATACAAGTAATTTTACCGAGTGTCCTGGTAAATATGCAAAAAGAAAAGGAGTACTTGTGGCACCTTAGAGACTAACCAATTTATTTGAGCATGAGCTTTCGTGAGCTACAGCTCACTTCATCAGATGTATACCGTGGAAACTGCAGCAGACTTTATATACACACAGAGAATATGAAACAATACCTCCTCCCACCCCACTGTCCTGCTGGTAATAGCTTATCTAAAGTGATCAACAGGTGGGCCATTTCCAGCACAAAGCCAGGTTTTCTCACCCTCCACCCCCCCCACACAAATTCACTCTCCTGCTGGTGCTAGCCCATCCAAAGTGACAACTCTTTACATAATCAAGTCGGGCTATTTCCTGCATAGATCCAGGTTTTCTCACATCCCCCCCCACCCCCATACACACACAAACTCACTCTCCTGCTGGTAATAGCTCATCCAAACTGACCACTCTCCAAGTTTAAATCCAAGTTAAACCAGAACATCTGGGGGGGGGGGGTAGGAAAAAAAGACAAGAGTAAACAGGCTACCTTGCATAATGAGCTTAGCTCATAAATAAATAAATTGGTTAGTCTCTAAGGTGCCACAAGTACTCCTTTTCTTTTTGCGAATACAGACTAACACGGCTGTTCCTCTGAAACCTGGTAAATATGGTCACCCTATTAATCTGCCACTGCGAGAGGGTCATTCTGCAGCTCTACAAGCTGATTCATTCCCTCTCTCAGACCCGTGCCATCAGCAGCAATCTGTCTTGCTGTACTTCCGGGGAGTTACAGGAGAAATGGGGCATGAAACCAGTATGGCACCGGAAGCGACATGGCATGCTTCTTTTACTCTGTAAAGGAACAGCATTCAAGACATTCCTGTTCCTCAAACTCCTGGGCTCCAGCTTGTTTCCCACCCCCACTGCATCTCCCAATTCTCCCCTCCAGGCAAGTCCCACATCCAATCCCACTGCTTTGGGCCTGTTAGAAACCCAATTCCCTTCCCCCAATTCACTCCTCCATCACCTCCCAGACTTTACTCTTCGCATCTCTCTATTTTTCTCCCCAAAGCCAGTCCAAGTTCTACCTCCAGCAGGCACCTCTCTACCCTCCCCTACTCACAGCATCTGATTCTAACCTCACAACACGCCAGCCCAGAGCCAGCCTTAGAGGCGGGCCACTCGGGCGACCACCCCAGGTACCGTGGTCAGGGGGTTGCCGTGCAGCAGCGCAGAGGTTACAAAGATTTCAGGGACAATAACAAGACCCGGCAAGCCCCGCATCTCCTGAGAGTAGCTGGAGGGGATTTTTGAAAGGGAGTCCCCCACTGAACCCAGCCTGTTCTGGACTGCAGCAAGGAACTCCTCACTGATGCCAACCAAGACCCTGAGCAGGAGGAGATTGCCCAGCCAGTCAGGATGGCGCCAGCTCACGAAACCCTGAGGCAGGCGCTGCAGACGACAGTGCTGGAGACCTAGGAGATGCCCAGTTGCCAGCCAGAGACCCATCCTGACGGTGCTGGGAAGGGGACCTTTCCCCATAACTATTAGGGGCTATATCAAAATACAACCATTAAACAGCTTTATTCCAGGTACCCTCAGGGCAACACCGTGTTGGATTGTTGTGCATTAGGAGAATGCTCCAAAGCAATTTCTCAAAAATATCAAATCCTACAGCCACCAGTGAAACGTGCCACTCACCCCCTTTCCTATGCTGCTTCCTGCTCCTTCCCACCCAGCCACGGCAGGGGCACCATGCCAGTCTGAAAAAACAAAGTCAAAAACATCGGCTGCACCGCAGACATGCTTATTGTAGCGCCAGAAAGTACTTGGGCTTATGGTTTGATTAATGCCCTCAACTTGAGATTTGAGGAGGTACAGTGCCGAAAGACGGCGACAGAGACATGTTAAATGTGTAGCAACCTTAAGGCAATCATGGCTAATCTGATCCCTTGGGATCAGAGCCATTCCTGCAAAATTCCACTGAGTTTGCAGTGCACGTTGTGCTGCTCTGCAGGTTTTACAGAAGAGAATTTAAGGCAAAGACAAGACTCTATTTTTCCATGCACACTGTTAGGCAATGCAGCTCACCTGACTCCACCCTGATACCTTGTGGTTCCCTTCCACTCCGGCACCAGCCTGACAAAGAGTGGCGTGAAATATTGTCCCGGTTTGCCCATGGCCTTGTTGAATAAGATCTTGCTCTGCCTTTGGAGAGATGCCCTCAGCATCATGTTACAGACAGCCTGCAGCTGTGCACATGAGCTTAACCTGCCCCCACGTGCCTCCCTCCTCCCCAATTCCCAGCCCACCACCAACCTGACATTTCTACAGAGGCCCTATCCAAGGAGGGAAGCAAGGTGGAAAAAGATCTTACCATCTCCAAGCTCACCCCAAAATAGGGTGGTCGCATAGAATATCAGGGTTGGAAGGGACCTCAGGAGGTCATCTAGTCCAACCCCCTGCTCAAAGCAGGACCAATCCCCAATTAAATCATCCCAGCCAGGGCTTTGTCAAGCCTGACCTTAAAAACCTCTAAGGAAGAAGAGCCCACCACCTCCCTAGGTAACCCATTCCAGTGCTTCACCACCCTCCTAGTGAAAAAGTTTTTCCTAATATCCAACCTAGACCTCCCCCACTGCAACTTGAGACCATTACTCCTTGTTCTGTCATCAGCTACCACTGAGAACAGTCTAGAGCCATCCTCTTTGGAACCCCCTTTCAGGTAGTTGAAAGCAGCTATCAAATCCCCCCTCATTCTTGTCTTCCACAGACTAAACAATCCCAATTCCCTAGCCTCTCCTCATAAATCACGTGCTCCAGCCCCCTAATCATTTTTGTTGCCCTCTGCTGGAGTCTTTCCAATTTTTCCACATCCTTCTTGTAGTGTGGGGCCCAGAACTGGACACAGTACTCCAGATGAGGCCTCACCAATGTCGAATAGAGGGGAACGATCACGTCCCTTGATCTGCTGGCAATGCTCCTACTTAAACAGCCCAAAACGTTGTTAGCCTTCTTGGCAACAAGGGCACACGGTTGACTCATATCCAGCTTCTCATCCACTGTAACCGCTAGGTCCTTTTCTGCGGAACTGCTGCCTAGCCATTCGGTCCCTAGTCTGTAGTGGTGCATGAGACTCTTCCATCCTAAGTGCAGGACTCTGCACTTGTCCTTGTTGAACCTCATCAGATTTCTTTTGGCCCAATCCTCCAATTTGTCTAGGTCCCTCTGTATCCTATCCCTACCCTCCAGCGTATCTACCTCTCCTCCCAGTTTAGTGTCATCCGCAAACTTGCTGAGGGTGCAATCCACACCATCCTCCAGATCTTTTATGAAGATATTGAACAAAACCGGCCCCAGGACCAACCCTTGGGGCACTCTGCTGGATACCAACTGCCAACTAGACATGGAGCCATTGATCACTACCCATTGAGCCCGAAGATCTAGCCAGCTTTCTATCCACCTTATATTCCCTTCATCCAGCCCATACGTCTTTAACTTGCTGGCAAGAATACTGTGGGAGACCATATCAAAAGCTTTGCTAAAGTCAAGATATATCACATCCACTGCTTTCCCCATATCCACAGAGTCAGTTATCTCATCATAGAAGACAATTAGGTTAGTCAGGCATGACTTGCCCTTGGTGAATCCATGCTGACTGTTCCTGATCACCTTCCTCTTGAGGACCTGCTCCATGATTTTTCCAGGGAATGGAATTCCAAAATGAAGGAAAAGCAACACTTTATTATTATTGGATGGAGACTAGAACTAACAATAGCTAATTGTGCTGTTTCTACCCCCTCCCCTCAGGTCCTGACACATCGCTGCCCACATGGACAGAAGCATTATCCGTGGCTGAATGCCAGGCAAATCTTCGGGGGGGGGAGCACGCGCACGCACGTGCACATGAGAAGGCATATTTGTGTCTGCATCTGCAAAGGCAGAAGACGACTGAAGAGTGGAGGGAAGGTTTCCTTTGCCATGATGCCAAGGAGAGAGGAGGACAGTGAGCTGTGGGCAGAGCACATTGACAAGATAGTGAGGGGGATATAAAGACATTAAATTCACAGGCAAGCCAACTTCGCCGTTGGAGGACACTGCATACTGGGAGCATCCCTTCCCCGCCCCAAGTCCAGGAGCAGGCCTCTCCCTCACCAGTCTACACCACACTGGAGTTTTCAGGGTTAACTTTTTTGATTTGTACAAACAGCTGCACAGAGGTGGGGCCATTGAGCTGTTTGCCGATGACACTGCACCTCTGGCCAATTAGAAGCGCCAGTGGCTCAAATTTCAATGCCACTTCCAGCCCAGCATCCTTCAGCCGACTACATCATATTGAACATCCACCACCCGAAGGAACTCCTGCCGCTGTAGCCTTCCTCTGCTCGAGCTGCATGCAAATCCTGATGGTTAAAAACTAGCGCAGCCCTTGGAATGAAGCACCACGTTGGCTCATTTCACTTACAAAAAGATTTTCATTGTTTTGTTCCTCAGCTAAATGATTAATTCCTCCCGACAATTAGCAAGTTTGATAAAATACCATTTTAATTCCAAAGATCTAATTTTTTTTAATCCTAAAGAACAAAAAAATACAACAGCCTGCTGGTGTGCTGTCAGATCAGAAATTACCCCCCCTCCCGCAAAAACAGATGGAACCAACACAGAATATTTTCCAGGGATGTACCCAGTCTAGTGTTAAAAGTCCCAAGCAACATGAATCTCATGGGAGACTCTTCCACAGCTGTTCTGGAATCTCATGCCTCTGCAGTTACAACCCAAAATTACATTTGTTTTTCTCTTCTACAGAGGCACAAAGCAGGAGTCTATGGGACAGCTGGGAACAGACCCCAACAGTGTTGGGCTCTCAGTCACAACCTCTAATTTATCAGTGATATTCTGAGCTAGACTCAGGCAAGATGACTGTACAATGACACACCCGAAAGCAAACATCTCTGCACTGCTGCCTTTTACCTTCAGCACCACTCACTAGCGTTCTCTGCCAGGGACTGTTTGTATTTCAGATCACTTTTGCCCACATGCAGCAGTTTTCCTTTTCCTACCTACTCTGTTGATTTCTACTCCTACGCGGGCCTGATCTCCCCAGGTCCCTTTGACTTATTTCTCTTTCCTCCATGGCATCTGCAGCTCGCTGCAGTTTTACACCATCTGAATATTTAATGATCATGTAAATTACTCCCTCTTCCAGGTGGAACAGTCCCAGTGACAGATGATTGAATACATGACCTGAAAAGCATAAGCTAAATAATCACCTCTGATCAATTCTTGTGACCCAGGGGTGGGAGAAGAGAAGAGAGAAGAGTCTATTCTTTCTCTGCACATAGACAGGCATCAAATTGCAGTCTCTTTCCCATTTTTTAGAGGAGCTTAACTATTCACTTCAGGCAATCAACGCTTTGTTACTTACTGTGTTGGAGTCCTACACTTGTAAGACTTGGCCAATACAGTTACACCAATGTATTATACCGATATAAAATACCCGCAGACTGCTGCTAACATGGACTCAGGTGATACTGGCAAAATAGCATGGTCAAAGAATCACAGAATATCAGGGTTGGAAGGGACTTCAGGAGGTCATCTAGTCCAACCCTCTGCTCAAAGCAGGACCAATCCCCATCTAACTATTTTGCTAGTATAGTTTATTACAGTGTCCCTCCTCGTCCCCCACAAACTGGTAAAAGTGCAAATTTTGGCAATGTAACTGTGCCATACGCTAGGGGCTTTTACCAGCACATTGTTCACTCACAAATCACACATCCTTAATAGACATAATTGTGCTAGCAAAATCTGTAGTGTAGGCATAGTTATATCGGCAAATGGGGATAGTATATTGTTGGGGAAACTGGTATAATTTATACCATCAAAACTCTTGCCAGTATAAGAAGGGCAAGGCAAGTTTCCTAGAGATCTTAATTCAGTTTGATACAGTGAAGCTGAACAACGTGACCAGTTCTGACTGAAGCTTCTCTCACCGTTGGAATATTTATAGGATTTTCCTTCGGTGTGAATACTTTTATAGTCAACAGTGTGGAGTTCTATGGAAGCATCTCTTACAGGTTCTCCCTGATGTGAGTTCTCTGGTGTTTAATAAGGTTGGAGCTCCGATTGAAGGTTTTCTCACAATCACTGCATCTAAAAGGTCTCTCTCCCGTGTGGATTTTCTGATGCTGAAGGAGATGCGAGCTCTGAATGAAGCTTTTCTCACACACTGGACATTTATAAGGTCGCTCTCTAGTGTGAGTTCTCTGATGCTGAATTAGATGTGAGCTGTAAATGAAGCCTTTGTCACAGTCAGCACACTTGTACGGTTTTTCTGCTGCGTGGTTTTTCTGATGGAGCATAAGCTGCGAGCTGCGACTGAAACTCTTCTCACAGCTAGGGCATGTGTAAGGTCTTTCCACATGGTGGGTTCTCTTGTGCTGAAGAAGGTGGGAGCTGCTAGTGAAGGTTTCCTCACACTTGCTGCATTTATAGTTCTGGTCTCCCACGTGGATTCGTTTGTGTTTATTTAGCACTGAGCTTCGGCTGAATCTTTTCTCGCACTCAGGACATTTAAAGGGCTTTTCTTGTGTGTGAACTCTCTGGTGCTGAATGAGATGGGAGCTCTGGTGGAAACTTTTCTCACAGTCAGGACATTTGTAGGGTTTTTCTCCCCTATGAGCTCTCTGATGGAGCATCAGGTGTGAGCTCTGAATGAAGCTTTTGTCACAGTCGGGACACTTATAGGGTCTCTCTCCAGTGTGGATTCTCTGATGCTTAATAAGATTTGAACTCTTGTTGAAGCTTTTGTTGCATTCGGAGCATTTATAGGGCTTCTTTCCTGTGTGAATCTTCTGATGTTTATGAAGATCCGAGACAAGACCAAACCACTCCTCACAGCCATCACACTTGTAGAGTTCCTCTCCCGTATGCATTCTCTGATGCAGAATGAAATGAGACCTGATCGGAAAGGTTTTTTCACATTCCCCACACGTATAGGGTTTCTGTTGTGTGTGGACTCTCTGATGTTTAATAAGATTTGCACTCTGTACAAAGCACTTTGCGCAGGTAGCGCATTTATAGGGTCTCTCTCCTGTGTGGAGTCTCCGATGCTTTACAAGGGTTGAGCTCCAGTTGAAGGTTTTCTCACAGTCGGGGCATTTATAGGGTCTCTCACCTGTATGGACTCTCTGGTGTTTAATAACTGATGAGATCCAGCTAAAACTTTTCTCACACTGGGGGCACTTGTGGGGTTTCACTCCATTGTGAACATTTTGATGCTGAATAAGCCGTGTGCTCCGAATGAATCTTTTCCCACACTTATCACATTTGTAAGGTTTCTCTTGAGTATGCGTTCGCTGATGATCAATCAGCTCTGATCTCTGTCTGAAGCTTTTCTCACACTCGGTACATTTATAGGGTCTCTCCCCCGTGTGGATTCTCTGGTGCTGAAGAAGATGTGAGCGGCGAGTGAAGCTTTTGTCACACTCAGTACATTTATGGGGTCTCTCTCCTGTGTGGATAGGAATGCTTTGGTGTTTACTGAAAGGTCTTTCACTTGGAGTGGATTTCTCCACACTCTCATCCCCTATGTTCCTGTGTTGGCCGGCTGGCCCGCGTTCACTCTCACACGTATTTCCCTCATCACAGCTGTTTGCTTTCTCTCTTTGTGATAAATTCCTGTGCTCTGCCAAACCCTCAGAATTTCCCTGCTGATGATTCTCTTCAATCTTCCACTTGATTCCATCATCTGCGGAAATAAATGGAGAATCCAGATGTTACTTCAACACACAAAGGACATTGGACTCGTGAATGTAAAGCATATAAACATACAGCATATCATGTTGGCATTCTGACTATAGGCTCTATTAGAAAAGCTGAAAATATCCCTTCCATCTCCGTTCAGGAGTGTTGTATGTACAGGAGGTAATTGTTCACTGTACTCAGCACTGTGCCCTCAGATGGAGTACTGGGTCCAGTTTTGGGTGCCACACTTAAGAAAGATGTGGACAAAATTGGAGACCGTCCAGAGGAAAGCAACAAAAATGATAAAAGTCTTAGAAAACCTAATTTATGCCGAAAGGTTAAAAACAACTGGATGTGTTTAGTCTGGAGAAAAGACGACTGAAGGGGACCCCATAACAGTCATTAAGTACGTGAAGGGCTGTTATAAAGAGGATGGTGATCAATTGTTCTCTATGTCCACAGAAGGAAGGTCAAGTAGTAATGGGCTTAATCTGAAGTATTGGAGGTTTAGGTTATATATTAGGGAAAACTTTCTAACTCCAAGGACAGTTAAGCACTGAAACAGGTTAACTAAGGAGGTTGTGGAATCTGCCTCATTGCAGGTTTTTCAGAACAGGTCAAACACTTGTCAGGGATGGTTTAGGTTTCCTAGGACTGGGTCCTGCCACAGTGCAGGCAGATGAACTAAATGAGCCTCTGAAGCTCTACATTTCTATGATTCAGAAGCTCCCTCTCCACCTCCTGGCTTAGCTAATGTTTCAAAGCTCTACAGAGAGGCAAGACAATGATATCCACCACGTCCTGCCATCCCACCTCAGCAGTCAGATGTCCGAAGGGGGAGGCTACAGTCCAAAGCCAGTCAGGATAGGTAGGAATCAAGGATAGACACCTGCCAAAAAGATGTAATAATGGCTGGCTACTATGCTGACTGGAGGGGACAAAGCCGTTTCAGTAGAAGCTCACGAAATGCGGGCTTCTTTCTCAGCTCATTAATGAACTCTTCAGAAACTCTGAGTGAGATACTTATTACTCACCAGAGGAGACCCCTGTAGAAAGGTCACTTTCCCTTGACTCCTGGTGAGCCTGCACACGTGGCTCTTCGCCACGTTCAATCAGGAATACAACGTCTGGTTTGGTGACAGCACGCCTGTTAGCGAAAAAAAAAAAAAAAGAATCACACCATGTTTTCTTTTTTCAGAGTAACAGCCATGTTAGTCTGTATTCGCGAAAAGAAAAAGGAGGACTTGTGGCACCTTAGAGACTAACCAATTTATTTGAGCATAAGCTTTTGTGAGCTACAGCTCACTTCATCGGATGCATACTGTTACTTGGCAAGCATAGAGTATTTGGTATTTTGTAAAAGTCTCGTTCAACCTTACTACTTCCCAGGATTGTTCCTCCAATGGAGCATTTCAACCTGTCCCCAAATGTATTAGCTGCCATATTGTTTGTAATTTTGTTATTTCCAGTCAGGTTTGTAATTTTGCAACATTCCCTATTGTTTTCCTGTCCTCACTGGCGTTTGCAATTCCTCGCAGTTTAGCACCACCTCCTAAATCTACTGGCATGCTGCTTACCTCCTCATCCAGAGCAATGACCACCACTTTAAATGCTGGACCAAATGCTTCTGTAACCATCTCCCAACCCAGAACATGGCTATTTGTTGTTAATTCTAGTTTGTGATCTTTGAACTGTTTTATATCCAAGAAATTGTTCTCCTATCCCACCCAATTTTGGGAGTAAGGTTTTGCGAGATACTATATCAAATTCTTTTCTAAAATACCAATATCAGTCTCTTTAATGGGTCTCTTCCGTCATAGGATTCCCAGATTCTAAGGCCAGAAGAGATCACTGTGATCATCTAATCTGGCCTCCTGCATTACACAGGCTACAGTCTAGGAGATAAAGGCCCCACAAATGAATACAGCATTATTTAAGGTGAAGCTGTACCATAGATAATGCCATTGTAATGTTTTCTGTCTGTCACAGTACAGCCTAAAATCTTAATTGCTTACTCAGTAACCACTACACACTAAGCAAACATCTTCACTGATTTGTCCACAAGGGCACCTTGATCTCTGTCCTAAGAGGTTACAAGGAACTGGGATTGAGATTCAATGTATTTCTACAGGAGAGTCATAAAAGACAAACACCACATAATTTTACAGACCTCTTTGGCCATGAAAGAGTTAGATGAGAGACAGGCTGATCGTGTGGATGCTAAACTGCAGAAAATTTAAATTGCTTCTATTAGAATATTGACACTCTTTCCACGTGGAAAGAAAAGGAGTACTTGTGGCACCTTAGAGACTAACCAATTTATTTGAGCATGAGCTTTCGTGAGCTACAGCTCACTTCATCAGATGTATACCTTGGAAACTGCAGCAGACTTTATATACACACAGAGAATATGAAACAATACCTCCTCCCACCCCACTGTCCTGCTGGTAATAGCTTATCTAAAGTGATCAACAGGTGGGCCATTTCCAGCACAAAGCCAGGTTTTCTCACCCTCCACCCCCCCCACACAAATTCACTCTCCTGCTGGTGCTAGCCCATCCAAAGTGACAACTCTTTACATAATCAAGTCGGGCTATTTCCTGCATAGATCCAGGTTTTCTCACATCCCCCCCACCCCCATACACACACAAACTCACTCTCCTGCTGGTAATAGCTCATCTAAACTGACCACTCTCCAAGTTTAAATCCAAGTTAAACCAGAACATCTGGGGGAGGGGGGGTAGGAAAAAACAAGAGGAAACAGGCTACCTTGCATAGTGACTTAGCCACTCCCAGTCTCTATTTAAGCCTAAATTAATAGTATCCAATTTGCAAATGAATTCCAATTCAGCAGTTTCTCGCTGGAGTCTGGATTTGAAGTTTTTTTGTTTTAAGATAGCGACCTTCATGTCTGTGATTGCGTGACCAGAGAGATTGAAGTGTTCTCCGACTGGTTTATGAATGTTATAATTCTTGACATCTGATTTGTGTCCATTTATTCTTTTACGTAGAGACTGTCCAGTTTGACCAATGTACATGGCAGAGGGGCATTGCTGGCACATGATGGCATATATCACATATTCTCTGTGTGTATATAAAGTCTGCTGCAGTTTCCACGGTATACATCTGATGAAGTGAGCTGTAGCTCACGAAAGCTCATGCTCAAATAAATTGGTTAGTCTCTAAGGTGCCACAAGTACTCCTTTTCTTTTTGCGAATACAGACTAACACGGCTGTTCCTCTGAAACCTTTCCACGTGGAACATCCCTTATTTGCGCCAACGTACCATGTGCAATGACCCAGCAGCTCGTTTCTGCTTGTGGGCTAAACACAGACGGAGAAGTACACCCATTGTCCTAAACCAGAAAAATATTGTAAACAGAGGGATTAGAGCGACCTTCTGTAATTTGAGTCTCCATTGACTGGAGTGGATTTTTTTTTTTTCCCTCCCACAAAGGAATGCAAGCGCAAACTGTCAAAGTCGAAGGGAAACATGAGAATAACCCTGATCTGAAGATCACTCAGGCCCCTCACAGCTCATGCCACTTCTACAAACTTGCAAATAATAGTTTTTACCCAGTGAGATCGAAGTCTTGTAGCTGTCCCTCATCACATCCTTCTGCCATTCCGCTAGCTCCTCCCACTCCTCCTCAGGAGAGCTAGACAGCAACGTCAAACATAGTCTGAAATGAGAAATGAAATACACTCTGGATCCAGACTCACGGCTGCAACCTTCAGGCCAATGGAGGAGAGAAACAGACAGTCCTTGGCACGGAGAGCTGTGAAATGAGGGAGGATGTGACTCCAGCTTGGGAACTCATAGAAAGCTTGTTATTACATACTGACTTCCGTGTTCTTCCCGTAGCTAAGAAGGAAGTGCAGCCAGTATCCGAGGCCTACAGCAGTCTTAGTACTTGTTAGTGCTATGAGAGATGAACAGTCTGAGGTGCTGATCAGCCCCCAACTGATCAGCTAGTAGAAAGGCTTGAAGTTTAAAAAAAAAAAAATTTATGAATATTTTTACAAATACAAGGACCAAGTTCCATTCATTTTGATTTGCTGCCTATTCTAAAGGATTCAGGCATTTTCTGGGGATTCCTCAAATTCTCTCCAAATCCCCAAAATCACCAAACATTTCTAAGCACTAATGATCTTCATTTGAAAATCCATCACAAAAAAGTGGATTATTCCCAGTTCGCTTCCTATTTAAAATGTTTGTGATCCACGCAAGGATCAAAAGCAAAGCCATGTAACTTAGGCTACCAGCCACCATGCAAATAATGAACAGTGATCCTTGGATGAGAACAACCCCATGGATGCAAAAGATGCAGCAAGCATCAGGAGCAGTTCACCAAGGAGTCATTCTCCAAGATAGTAAACGTGCAACATACATTAATCATAACAGATCCTTCCAGCGCCAAGCATTGTCAGCTACATGATAGGCCTGGTCAAAGGTTTACATTTAAAAAAAAATCTTTTTGGTAAAAACTGGGGTTGTCAAAGAAACTCCACTCTTTCTCCCACCCATCAAACATGTCTTTGGAGGAGGAGAAGTTTTAGTTTTCAGAAACACTTTCAAAACAGATAAGTTGAGGGAGAGGATTTTTTTGGTATGTCTGAAATTATTTGTTTAAAAAGGGCGGGGAAATGCCCGCTCTCTATTTTTTCCTCCCGTCACCCTTCTCCCCCAATTTTCTCATTCCAAAAGTGTGAGAAAAAAACATTTACATTCAAAAGTAACTTTTCCCTTCGAAAAAGCAAGCCTGGATAGTGTCTCTTGCTCCCTTGTCCAGGGTCACACTGATCACCAGATTTGGGATTGAGAAGGAATTTTCCTCCAGCTCAGAATGGTGAGAGTCCCTATGTCTTTTTTGCCTTCCTCTGTAGCATAGGGCATGGATCCCCTGCTGGGATTACCTGTGCACATCTCATCTAATCATTCACTGACATCGCAGGGACCTTGGCCTCACCTGTTCTCTTTTTCTCAGAGCCAAAATGCTTTGGTCTGACTAAAGTCTTTGGGCTTAGTACAGTTAGTGAAATGTAATGGCTTGTGATATACAGGAGGTCAGACTAAAAGTTTACTAAAAAGACGTAAACTCTACGAAACTTCCCCCCCCCCATACTCTCTTATGTTTAATTTCTTACCCCCTTTTTCCTACTTGAAAAAGATTGTGGTGGAGGGGAGTTTTAAAAGAAAGTGAAGAATTTCCCCCACCAAAAAGAAAATAATTTTTTTCACTGAAAAACACACATTTTTACATTGCACACACAAACTTTGCGTTAAATTTTTTTTTTTCCCACAAAACATGAGCTTTGACCAGCTCTAATCCTTCGTTACCAACAGCATCTGCAAGATACAAATCAGAGCTCTTCATTGTCACTCAGATCAGACTAGGAAATCCCCAGGAAAAGTTCCTCCCCGGTGCAACGTGGAGAGTTAGACAGTAACACTGCCATTAAGCAATATTTTAAATACAGCTGGTTTGAAACAGGTTACACAGCTCAGCAGAGACACAGGTTACACTAGAATCCATCACTTTATCCTCTGTCCACGAGCGAAAAGGCCAAGAACGTCACTGTCAAAGCTCTATCTGGGCAGAGGTGTCTCTGGCCATTCCCCTGTGAATCGGGCAGTGTATGTAGTTCAGCAGCCAGTGGGTCATCGGGGGAAGGTTTCACTCAGGGACACTGGCAACTGAAAACAATATTGACTGAACTACAATCAGTTTTAATCTAGGCAACAGATTAGGAATCTCAAACAAAATTCTTGCTTCTCCCTGAGAGGGTCATTCCACAGTTCTGCAAATCAATTAATTCATTCGCTCAGATCTGTGCTGTCAATGGCAATTTGTCCCTCCACGCTCCCTGGGAGTTGCTGGTAGAGTGCCCCAGTGGTGCTGTATAGCTCTGGGGGCAGACACTGCACTCTTCCTTACGCTCCTTAAAAGAACAACATTTCCTGCACCTCAAGCCACCAGGCTCCAGCCTGATTCCCAGCCCACAGCATCTTCCAATTCTCCCCTCCATGTGACTCCCAAATCCAATCCCTCTGCTTTGGGCCCCCATTAGAGACCCAATTCCCTTTCCCCGTGTATCCCCCCACCCCAATTCACTCCTCCACTCTTTGTATCTTTCCATTTTGCTCCCCCACCTTCCCTACCACTCATAGGTGCTCATACCATCCCCACAACACACCAGCCAATCTGCTTCCTAGAATATCAGGGTTGGAAGGGACCTCAGGAGGTCTAGTCCAACCCCCTGCTCAAAGCAGGACCAATCCCCAATTAAATCATCCCAGCCAGGGCTTTGTCAAGCCTGACCTTGAAAACTTCTAAAGAAGGAGATTCTACCACCTCCCTAGGTAAGGCATTCCAGTGTTTCACCACCCTCCTAGTGAAAAAGTTTTTCCTAATATCCAAGAACGTCACTGTCAAAGCTTTATCTGGGCAGAGGTGTCTCTGGCCATTCCCCTGTGAATCGGGCAGTGTATGTAGTTCATTAATTCATTCACCTTGACCTCTCTTGGCTCCCAGCTCCCTCCTCACACCCTATTGCTCCACCTGGGAGAACCAGAGCATTTCTCAGACTTACCACTTCATACCCAAGGGCTCTCCCAGACTTCCAGCCTCCCCACTGGCACACAACCAACCTAACTTTCTCCCTGCCTTCTCTTGCATTCAAACAGGCTTCAGCTACCCAGTCCCAGACCAGTCCCCGGTCCTAACCCAGGGGTTCTCAAACTGGGGGTCGAGACCCCTCCGGGGATTGCGAGGTATTACATGGGGGGGTTGTGAGCTGCCAGCCTCCACCCCAAACCCTGCTTGGCCTCCAACATTTATAATGATGTTAAATAAATAAAAAAGTGTTTTTCATTTATGGGGGGGGGGGAAGTCGCACCCAGAGGCTTGCTATGTGAAAGAGGTCACCAGTAGCTCCTGAACTCTCACCTTCTGCAACACAGCAAGACCCTGTGGTAACTTCCCATTGCAAGGCTGTGGCCCCTGCCTAAGTCCCAGTTTCCTAGACCAGATGAGCCCAAAGAGCATCAGGTACACGCTGACCCCGGACAGCCTTACGTCGCAGGGACGGTAACACAAGGCCACGGAACATCGCCGATAACCAGCAGCGCCCGCGAGTCAGCGGAGACCCGCCTGGTGCCCGCGGGGGCAGGGGCCCGGTTATCCCCGCCGGCTGGGCGCTGCTTTGCCAGAGTTTTCGCTCGGGTTAAGTCACGGGAGGAAGTTAACGCCTTTGCACAGCGAGTCTGGAGGCCGGTGCGGGCGGCGAGCAGCCCGGCGTTTGGAGAAAGGGCGGCGAGGGACCCTGAACGGGGCCGGGCCCCCCCGCCACCGCAGTCCCGGGCACTTGGCGGCGTTGCTGGGACCCGCCCCAGCCCAGCAGCCGGAGCCCGGCGCGACCCTCCCGCCTGCCCCAGCCCGCGCCCCGGCCGCAGGCCCCCAGGGCCAGGGCCGGCCCCCGCCAGCCCGCCCGGGCGGCTCCTCCCGGCCCCGGTCCAGCGCCCGACCCGCCGCCGGCCCGGCTCACCTCGCGCCGCCGCCATCGCGCCGCCGGGCCCGGCCAGCGCCAGCCCCGCCCGCCGTAAGCCTGCCCCTGCCGGCCGAGCCGGGCGGGGGATCCGGGCTGCAGCCCGCTCCCTGCAGCGCCGGGCCCACGGGCGGGGAGCGGCTGGAACGTTGCCCCGCCGGAGCCCGAGCCGGGTCCGCCCCTGCCCCGGTCGCGAACTCACAGACCTGCGGGGCAGGGCTCGCCTCTCTCCTGGCACGGGGCTGGGCCCAGGAAATGTACATCAGCCCTGACCCAACCCTAGGGCTGCCAACTTTCTAATGGTGCAACCCCCTGTCCCGCCCCTGCTCCGGGCCCCGCTCGCTCCATCCCCGCTCCCTAGCTCGCTCCCCCACTTTCATGGGGCTAGGGGTTCGGGGGGGCGTGAGCAGGTATTTTGAGCAGGGGGTTGGACTAGATGACCTCCTGAGGTCCCTTCCAACCCTGATATTCTATGATTCTGTGGTTTCCCTAAACCCCCCTGGCAGGGCGTACACCCGCCTTGAATTTCCCCAACACCCCCTCCCCCGGTTACATGCAGTATTGCCAATTTAGTGCTTGGTTGGAAATCTGAATTTAAATTGAAACAGTAATCCACACTTTAAAAGCATATACAGTGTATGAGAAAATACTTATACTGAGAAAGCAGAATGGGTTTGAAAAGTATGAACAAAGATTAGCTTCCTCATACAGCTATTTAGGGCAATGTTGGCACATTTGTTTAGGCTATATTGGCCTACCTAATCATTTCAAATTATGATTTATTAGCAAGGTCTGACTGAGCTCTCCCCTGTCAGCTCCTGGTGAGCCAGGGATGCATGAAAAGACTTCAGGACCAGACTGTATTTAACTGGACTCACCTACTCTGCCTAGGTATCCAGCAGACAGAGCTGTACTGCACAAGAGATCAATTTTGGCTGGTGCTGGGTTACAAATCACTGAAGTATAAAATGTGGGGGTCATGAAATATTGTTCTCCTTATTCCCTCTGTGCTTAATTTGTGCCAGGGTTTGCCGGGGGGAGCCCAGCACCTCCAGGCTCAGCAATGCAGAGCCCTGGGACCTCTGGGCTTGTCAGATCAGTTACAAAAGTAACAAACTTGCTTGAGCCCTGGCACCTCTTTCGTTACAAATTAAGCACTGGTCACCCTCAACTGAACTGCACTTGCTAGGCAGGAGGTTTGGATGCCAGATCCCAGTGGGGGGAGAGAGACGGTGGGGCCCAGGTGTTTTGCTTGGTGGTGGGGGCTCTGCCCAAGAGTCACAGGCACTATTTGACCTGCCCCTCTCTCCTGTTTAGAGAGAGAGCTGATTAGGCTCCAGTCTTTTGGTTTGTTAAGTGATCACTAGAGCTGAAATCACTGAGCATCAGGTCTAAGTGCTTAGACCGGCTGTGGGACAGTGTCTGTGAAAGAGACAGCCCAGCCGGCACTAGCAGCGAGGTTCCCCCACCGAGAGCAGAAATCACTGAGAGCTGGGTGGAACCTCAACAGACTGACTTGCAGAGGTTACAGTTTTCAGAGTAACAGCCGTGTTAGTCTGTATTCGCAAAAAGAAAAGGAGTACTTGTGGCACCTTAGAGACTAACCAATTTATTTGAGCATAAGCTTTCGTGAGCTACAGCTCACTTCATCGGATGCATACCGTGGAAACTGCAGCAGACTTTATATACACACAGAGAATATGAAACAATACCTCCTCCCACCCCACTGTCCTGCTGGTAATAGCTTATCTAAAGTGATCATCAAGTTGGGCCATTTCCAGCACAAATCCAGGTTTTCTCACCCTCCACCCCCCCACACACAAATTCACTCTCCTGCTGGTGATAGCCCATCCAAAGTGACAACTCTCTACACAATGTGCATGATAATCAAGTTGGGCCATTTCCTGCACAAATCCAGGTTCTCTCACCCCCTCACCCCCCTCCCAAAAACCACACACACAAACTCACTATCCTGCTGGTAATAGCTCATCCAAAGTGACCACTCTCCCTACAATGTGCATGATAATCAAGGTGGGTCATTTCCAGCACAAATCCGGGTTTTCTCACCCCCCCACCCCCATACACACACAAACTCACTCTTTCTGGTAATAGCTCATCCAAACTGACCACTCTCCAAGTTTAAATCCAAGTTAAACCAGAACATCCGGGGGGGGGGGGTAGGAAAAAACAAGAGGAAACAGGCTACCTTGCATAATGACTTAGCCACTCCCAGTCTCTATTTAAGCCTAAATTAATAGTATCCAATTTGCAAATGAATTCCAATTCAGCAGTTTCTCGCTGGAGTCTGGATTTGAAGTTTTTTTGTTTTAAGATAGCGACCTTCATGTCTGTGATTGCGTGACCAGAGATTGAAGTGTTCTCCGACTGGTTTATGAATGTTATAATTCTTGACATCTGATTTGTGTCCATTTATTCTTTTACGTAGAGACTGTCCAGTTTGACCAATGTAAATGGCAGAGGGGCATTGCTGGCACATGATGGCATATATCACATTGGTGGATGTGCAGGTGAACGAGCCTCTGATAGTGTGGCTGATGTTATTAGGCCCTGTGATGGTGTCCCCTGAATAGATATGTGGGCACAGTTGGCAACGGGCTTTGTTGCAAGGATAGGTTCCTGGGTTAGTGGTTCTGTTGTGTGGTATGTGGTTGTTGGTGAGTATTTGCTTCAGATTGCGGGGCTGTCTGTAGGCAAGGACTGGCCTGTCTCCCAAGATTTGTGAGAGTGTTGGGTCATCCTTTAGGATAGGTTGTAGATCCTTAATAATGCGTTGGAGGGGTTTTAGTTGGGGGCTGAAGGTGACGGCTAGTGGCGTTCTGTTATTTTCTTTGTTAGGCCTGTCCTGTAGTAGGTAACTTCTGGGAACTCTTCTGGCTCTATCAATCTGTTTCTTTACTTCCGCAGGTGGGTATTGTAGTTGTAAGAAAGCTTGACAGAGATCTTGTAGGTGTTTGTCTCTGTCTGAGGGGTTGGAGCAAATGCGGTTGTATCGCAGAGCTTGGCTGTAGACGATGGATCGTGTGGCGTGGTCAGGGTGAAAGCTGGAGGCATGCAGGTAGGAATAGCGGTCAGTAGGTTTCCGGTATAGGGTGGTGTTTATGTGGCCATTGTTTATTAGCACTGTAGTGTCCAGGAAGTGGATCTCTTGTGTGGACTGGACCAGGCTGAGGTTGATGGTGGGATGGAAATTGTTGAAATCATAGTGGAATTCCTCAAGGGCTTCTTTTCCATGGGTCCAGATGATGAAGATGTCATCAATATAGCGCAAGTAGAGTAGGGGCTTTAGGGGACGAGAGCTGAGGAAGCGTTGTTCTAAATCAGCCATAAAAATGTTGGCATACTGTGGGGCCATGCGGGTACCCATAGCAGTGCCGCTGATCTGAAGGTATACATTGTCCCCAAATGTAAAATAGTTATGGGTAAGGACAAAGTCACAAAGTTCAGCCACCAGGTTAGCCGTGACATTATCGGGGATAGTGTTCTTGACGGCTTGTAGTCCATCTTTGTGTGGAATGTTGGTGTAGAGGGCTTCTACATCCATAGTGGCCAGGATGGTGTTTTCAGGAAGATCACCGATGGATTGAAGTTTCCTCAGGAAGTCAGTGGTGTCTCGAAGATAGCTGGGAGTGCTGGTAGCGTAGGGACTGAGGAGGGAGTCTACATAGCCAGACAATCCTGCTGTCAGGGTGCCAATGCCTGAGATGATGGGGCGCCCAGGATTTCCAGGTTTATGGATCTTGGGTAGTAGATAGAATATCCCAGGTCGGGGTTCCAGGGGTGTGTCTGTGCGGATTTGATCTTGTGCTTTTTCAGGAAGTTTCTTGAGCAAATGCTGTAGTTGCTTTTGGTAACTCTCAGTGGGATCATAGGGTAATGGCTTGTAGAAACTCGTGTTGGAGAGCTGCCGAGCAGCCTCTTGTTCATATTCCGACCTATTCATGATGACAACAGCACCTCCTTTGTCAGCCTTTTTGATTATGATGTCAGAGTTGTTTCTGAGGCTGTGGATGGCATTGCGTTCCGCATGGCTGAGGTTATGGGGCAAGTGATGCTGCTTTTCCACAATTTCAGCCCGTGCACGTCGGCGGAAGCACTCTATGTAGAAGTCCAGTCTGCTGTTTCGACCTTCAGGAGGAGTCCACCTAGAATCCCTCTTTCTGTAGTGTTGGTAGGGAGACCTCTGTGGATTAGTATGTTGTTCAGAGGTATTTTGGAAATATTCCTTGAGTCGGAGACGTCGAAAATAGGATTCTAGGTCACCACAGAACTGTATCATGTTCGTGGGGGTGGAGGGGCAGAAGGAGAGGCCCCGAGATAGAACAGCTGCTTCTGCTGGGCTGAGAGTATAGTTGGATAGGTTAACAATATTGCTACAGTGGCAGGTGGCAGCAGAAGGTGACAGTGCAGGGACATTGGGGATGGAGCAGTTGAGTAAACGGTGGCACGACAAACAACAGCGGCCAGAGCATTGGACTGTGTTTTAGTGACTTTGCTCCAGAATGCTAGATTTGTGACTGGGAAACTTATACAAATATACGTTTCCTAGTAGGCCAAGATTTTTAAAATGCATTATTTGCCCAGGTCGTTATCTCACATCATCGCTATCTCAGGAGGTCATTATATGGGGAGTTTCTGTATTAAACTTTTTTATTATTATAATTATTTTTTATGTAAGAACGGCCATATTGGGTCAGACCAATGGTCCATCTAGCCCTCTATCCTGTCTTCCAACAGTGACTGTTCCAGGTGCTTCAGAGGGAATGAACAGAACAGGGAATCA